TGAATCAAATGATTCAGGTAATATCGAGAGCAATTTTTTCTCGTAACCTCTTTTTGGGACTTTGCGCATACTACATTTTTGACACCAACTTCCACATTTTTTCAAGCTTTAACCTATAGAACCTCTCACGTATTCTGTCAAGCATCCTATTAGCTCCAAGATGTCCTCCTGGTGAGTCACTATGCATTTCTTTAAGAACTTCTGCGAATTTCTTTCTAGATACAACAATCTGCATTCGATGTTGATTCCCATTTCCGTTTAAGCAACCCATCTTCCAAATGCAAGGAGTCCCACTGAGCCCTGTAGTTCTTTACCGACCAACCAAACTAAATATGTCTTACCATTCAAGTCGCTGGCTTGATTTTTTCCATGCATCGCGTATGTCTTTTTCGGCAGACTGTGCGCTGGCCAGTTCTTCCGGTGTCCATACTGTATCTGCCGTTATTGTAATTTTTCGTTCATCTTCTGTTTGTATTTTCTCCTCCAGTCGACTGCAGTATTTCCAACTTAGTGAACAAGGTTGACGAGAAATAGCATCGGCATTGTTGTGGGATGTTCCTTACGGTGCATAATTTTAAAGTCGTACGTTTGTAATCGTTCAAACCATCGTGCACCTGTCTTTCTGGATTTTTGAAATTAAGCAACTACTTTAACGTTGCATGGTCCGTTGAAGAAGAAATTTTTGTACGTAGAGGTACTTGTGGAAATGTTTTGTTGTCACGGCCATCGCTAGAAACTCATTTTTGGTTACGCAGTGGTTACGGTCAGGCTTTGCTGTAATAAGCCAAAACTTTTTCTTCTCCATCAATAATTTGTGACAAAACCGCTCCAATTTCAAAGTTGCTTGCATGCGTATCTAGCACAAATGGTTTACCTCAGATTGGATATGCTAACAAGGAGGCTTCACATAATTCTTTTTTCAGTTGTTCAAAAGCTACTTCATATAACTCATTCCAATCAAACGCTTGATCATTTCCAGTGAGTCGTGCAATTTATGCAAAATCCTTTACGAAACTTCGGTAGTATATAGCTATTCCAAAGAAACTGCGCAAATCATTTGTATCTTTCTGAGTTGGTCAATTTTTTACCATTTTTATTTTACTTGGGTTTGTCTTCACTCCATTGGAAAATATGACATATCCCAAGTAATTCACTTCTTTCATAAACAATTTGCACTTTTTAACGTTCAACTTTAAGTTCGCAGTTTGAAGTCTCAAAAATATATCTCGTAAATTTTCGTCAACCTGGTTGAACGACTTTCCTAAAACAATTATATCTTCTAAGTAGACAAAACATGTTTCCCAAGTGAGACTTTATAATACGCATTCCATTAGTCGTTCAAACGTAGCTGGAGCATTGCACAGTCCAAACGGCGTTACAGTGAATTGCCACAAGCCTGATCCAGTTGAAAATACATATACAAAATCCGCTATCAAATTTTCGGCCTTAGAACAATCTTCCTGGTCCAGATTGAGTTCAGTTAATAGACCCTCTTAAGCTTTTCAAGATTATTCATATCGACTAGCCAACCACTATTCTGATGTTGAATATCCAAAGACTTCACGATATTTACAGAATGACAAAAGCCTATTTCTTGGTCCTTTTTAATTGCAACAGAATGTTCTACCAAATTTAACACCGAAAGCCAAACTGAAACAAAGCCATTTTCATTTGCTTTTACGAGACTCTTTCCAATAACAATGTTGTCAATTTCTATCGTCGTCGTTGGCTCAACCAGGTAGAAATGATGGTCCTCAGGGTTTTCAGTATCACCAATTATTTTTGCCCATATTATGTTCTCTGATGATTTAGGTACTTCAGTATCACCGTCGATTGTTATACAAAGATATTTCACCTCGCTAGTTCCTATTACTATCTCCGTATATCTTCATCTAAGGACGCGTTTCTCTAAATCAATTTTAAAACCATGTTTTGTTAGAAAATCAACGCCTATAATGCATTCATCAGGGATATCTTCTATTACGAATGTGCCCTCGAATGCTAAATCTCCCTGTTGAACAGTGTAAGAAATTTCTCCGTAGACGGGCGCTGTTCCCCCTGAAGCTGTTCACTTTTTAGATTGGACACCAGATCGAATCGTAAAATTGACCTCGTTGCTCCCGTGTCGATCGTAATTAAACATTTTTGTAAACCAGCATTGCCATCTAACCAAAGTTCGTATTGTCGTCGATGCAGCCTGTAGACCTTAATCATGATACTAGGGGCGTCAATTCTACCAGCCAAACATCTAACCCGCGAAATTGGCTCTCATTAGTTTCCTGTCTCCTTGTTTCAGGCAGTCGATCGTAACGCGGGGTCACCATCTAACCGTTTGTGCCAGGTTGCTTCACAACAGTTATTGTTTTTATGGCGTTGTTTGCAATTTTGTCGTAATTGTCCTTTTTCTCCACAATTCCAGCATTTTGGCTCATCATAATCCTGACCCTTCTGTTCTAGAACCATTCTTTGACATGAACATTCTTCACAAATTTGGTGCAGTGTGACGTCAGTCTTTGAAGCTTGTTTTGCTGATTTGCATATAAGATTGTAGGCAACGGCGTCTTTGAGGTTGCGTTTGTCCGCTAGTATGAGGGTTTGTCTAAGATCCGAATCTCGAACAGCCTTTAAAAACGTTTCCAATGCAGTTTCTTTTCTGTGTTGTGGGTCGTACGTAAGGTTGAGACAGCAGAGTCGACCGTTCAATATCCTGTGCCAGCTGCTGTATTGACTCTCAGGTCGCTGCGACCGGTTTCGTATCTGGGACCGATATATTTGCTTTATGTTTTTTTCACCGTAACGTAAATTCAACGCATTTACCAGGACTTAACAGTTGGAATGGTCTTCTAGAATCGTTTGGAAAACTTCTGCTGCTGACCCTCGTAATAATACAACAAGAGTCGTTGCACGCTCTCTTTCATTTCAGCTATAATTCATTACTGCTGCTTCAAACTGGGCTTGATAAATGTTCCATGTCTTTGCGGTCACGTGGCTTGCAGGTTTGAAGTTTATCTTCTTAGTTTCTTCTAGTTCTTGTTTAAGTTTATCTACTTTGCAAGATAACTTCTGTTCGAGCCCGATAAACTTTTGATCAAATTTTAACTTGACGCTTTCTAGTGTTGCATTGATTACTGCCGATTGTCGTTCAGCTTTGACATCGAATTGATCTATGAGTTCTTTCAACTGTTGTATCATTTTAGCATCATGTTGTTCAACTTTTGTTGATTGTTGTTCAATTTTTGTTGATTGATGTTCACTTTTTGTAGATTCTTGTTTTATTTCTGATGATATCGTTCAAAGTAAAGCCATCAAATCGATGTTTGCCACAGCGTCTACAACTGTTTTCAATTTAACATCCTGATCGTCAAACTCGAATTCATTTGGAATCTTGTTTTCATCAACAAGGGCTTCCGTTAAGCGTACTATCAATGCTCCTCTGTTTCCACTTGTAGCAAGATTTCGTTTTTGTAACTCTTTTTTGAGTTGCACCAATTTAAGTTTATGTAATTTCGTCAAAATTTTCAACAACGATGCTCACCTATTTTCCGTCTTCTGACGCCAATGTTATAACTGGCCGGTCGACGACAAGTTCGTTTAATCCCAGTGAAAAATAAATACAATATAACTGTCAAATTAACGATTTATTTATTTACAGAACAAGAATTAATTAATATAAAATCAACAAATTTTAATTTTACTAATAATTGTTAATGTAAACAAACTTTCAAATTAACGTTCGGAAACTATTGCTTTTCGGTTAACAATTCAATAACGTTTATTGCAAATACAATAAAAACACTAACAATCAGTCGCTTTCTAAAATCAAATATTCAACAACAACCATTCAATATCTTGCATGCCTTTGAATAACCGTTTTACCAACGCGTCTAAAACGTCCTAGATACCTCGCTCTCGGAATATTCTAGTTCAGTCTCGAGCTAACGACACTAGCCCTCTAGCGAATATATTTGTAATGGTTATAACAATATATTTGGCTTTTAAATATATAACACATATATATATATATATATATATATATATATATTTATTTATTTATATATAACCGCATATATGGAATAAACTACCAATATTTACCGCCCATTTAAATATAAATTAAAAAATTTTCTTCAATGTTTATCTTAACTATTTTTATCTAATATATTTTTAAACTATATTTATCTAATATATTTATATTAAACTACCAATATTTACCGCCCATTTAAATATAAATTAAAAAATTTTCTTCAATGTTTATCTTAACTATTTGTATCTAATATATTTTTGGGTTTTATAATCTATTTTTATGTTTTAATAAAATTTTACATGTGCCTTTAATGTTATATGATTGTATCTGTGTATTTTTGGTTTTTTTAATTTGGCACCCCGGATTGGATTTTGATTTTTGTTTTATGATTTTTTGTATTTTTCAGCGTGCAATATTTATTTATTTTTTTTAGCTTTGTTTTAATGAAAAGTATCATTCTTTCAGACATTGTTCTACAGTTTCTTTCTTATTTATTTTTAGAACGAATTTTATATATTTGTTTTAATTACGGAAGTGTACCTTATAATAGTTTACAATTATTCCTTTTACAGGCTTTTAATGTTTTCATTTTAATGTTTTCATATTTTTAATGTGATCTTTTATTTGCGCATTGCTAAATCGTTTCGTTTTGTTTAAAACAATGTTATTATTTCATCCTATCGGATTTTTGGACATACAAATTCTGCTTTTAATTATTTGAACATGGTTTTAGCTTATTGTTTACTTTTATTTTTGTTTATTTTTTATTTGTCAATGTAAAGGTTCCATATTATTTAAAATTTTCTTTTCTTTTTTGGAATCCTTTTTTATGACCGTGTTTACGTTTCATGAAATAAACTTGTTAAACAAAGTGTAGGAGTGCAAAATGCACCGTCATAAAATAGCACCGGGAAAATGTTCAGGTTGTCTATTTATTTAGAAAATGAATTTATTAAATAATGTAATTTTAAGTACTAACCAAATCAATCAGTTGAGAAAGTTTGAGACTAATTTCAACAATAACCTTATCAGAAGTGTTATAAACCGGTCTGATGACCTTACTGTACCCTTTTTTTCGTATCAGTTGATCGTATAACTTCTTAGCATAAGGGTTACTTCTTGTTACATTGAATGATATCCATAAAATTAAATAAATTTTTAAAATAACATGGAAAATATGAATCATATTGATTCTTCATTATTTTATAATCATTTAAAAGCCATTTTGGAATACTGCAACTTTAAAAAAATAGACGTCCTGTTGTGCTTCTAACGTCACTCATTAAAATCCCGCCTACATTATCAATAATCATCTAAGAGCATGCACGATCACAAAGCTGTGAGACCACGTCCGATCGTCCATTATGCCCGTTCTTATTACATGTTGTATATTATATAAGCAACAGGCATTACTTCATATATTCTGCTGCATGGAAGATATAACCAGCAAACGTAATTTTATACAAAATTTGATATTTAAATTGAATTTAGAAGAAGGCTGTTGTTTGACTAATTAACATTTTAACGAGAAGGCTTCATTAATCACCCACACACATCTGGATTAGTAAGCACAAACACGCACACACACGCACACACACACACACACACACACACATATATATATATATATTTACAATATTCTATAAATTCTACCGAATGTTTGGCGTTAATATGTTTGTAGTTCGTTTTTTTAATTTTTCTCACTAAAGTTTTTTGGTGAACGTTTAGTTTATTAAAATTCAAAATAAATTATTC